TATCTATCTATCTATCTATCTATCTATCTATCTATCTATCTATCTATCTATCTATCTTTATATTTATATTTTTGGTGATTACAATCTTTAAAAATATTTCTTAGATTATTCTATAATTACAATTTTCTCTCTTCCCTTTTTCTTCTCTAAACCCTCCCCATAAACCCTTCTCAAACCTCCTTCAAATCCATGACTTCTTTTTTCATTAGTTGCTATTTCAAGTACATATTAATGTGTAGATACTTGTATATTCCTAAATATAACCTGATAAATATATGTAATATTACTTGTGCATGTTTCAGGACTGATCATTTGGCGTTGGACAATTGTTTACTGTGCTCTTCCCTGGTGAAGATTACTTCTCCTCACCCTGCTCCCTTTGGCTGCATATAGTTCTTTCTGAAGGATGTAATCCTTAGCAATCTATTGTCACTTGTTCATACACCCACCGAGAAGTGCAGCCTTTATGTCTCATCAAGGAATCAGGTGAGTGAAAACTGCAGAAGACCTCAACCAATCAAAACACAGAGTTGTGGAGCCCTGCCCCAATGCACACATCCACAAACACTCCCACAACTGAGGTTCAGGGAACCCGTGGAAGTGGGTGCGGGAAGACTGTAAGAGTCAAAGAATCAGGGAGTTTGCTGTGAGATTGTGTCCCGTGGTAATATCAGAAGTCACACCCATAAAGTCTCACTAACATGACTGCCCAAATATGAGCAAAACAAGAACAATGCCAATGGGTGTGCCAAAGTGGATGGAAAGAAGCCTAGCAGGCCTCAGCCCTGAAGGGTTTTTACTGAACCGTTTGCCTCAGCCTCTTAAGTAGCTGGAATTAGAGCCATCACCAGGATAAGAGATTTTTATGCTAATATAATTTTTTTAAAAAAGTTACAAGTATATGCATATGTATGTATGTATGTTACTTGTGTGTTTATGCTACATGTATGTGTTGAAGGAGGCCAAATGCAGGCATTGGATCTTCTGGAACGGGATACAGGCAGTTGTGAGTCTTTTCAACTCAATAGGGGATTCTGGGAACCAAACCCAGGCCTTTTGGAAAAGCAATAAGTGCTCTTAGCCACTGAGCCATTTCTTCAGTACCACTAATAAAATTCTTGATGACCCCCCACAAAGGGCATGGTGATATGAAGATATACAAATATTATCTGATTTTACAAGATGATCAAACTTGTGTGCATAATATTACTTATGGACACAGCTTACAGTGCAGTGGCTGTGATGTCTGTCTTCTTGAAATGAAATGCCACAACATTCTTTCTTTCTAGTGTTACCACAAGCTTGTATAATTAGCTGTTTCTTTGATCATTTATTTAGTTTATCGTACAAAGTAATGGAGTCATCATGATCTCTTCATAAATATGTATAATTATCATACTTTGTTCTCATTAGCTTCCCTGCTCCCAACTTCCCTGTAGTCAGTCTCCCTCCCTCCCCCAGTTTGTCATCCTTTTCTTTCCCATTGGTCTCTTTCCTACCTCCCTTAAGAGTGCTTCCTCTCCACTCAGGAGTCCCTTTCTACAACCTCCTCCCAATACACAAACACGCACGTATAAGATAAAACATGTGGGAGCTGTCTTTTTGCATTTGGATCATTTATTGATTTTTGATTGTTTTTTTTCCCTTGGATACAAATCCCTGGATGTTTCTGTTAAGCGCAAACATCAATATCACATAAATAATTTTAAAATAACGCACAATAAAATGAGTAGATGTGCCTTATTTTTAAATAGCATTAATATAAAATATATAAATCAAACATATAATACAAACAATATATTTGGAACAGATTTTCAGCGCATATTAAAATTTTGCTTTAATATTTAATGATTTTATATATTCATAATTGCCAATAGATAAATTAGTGGAGGTTCAACATTATGAATCACAGGAAAATTACATGTGAATATTGGTCTTATCAGGGAATGTTAGCTGTTAATGTAGCCAAGATCATAAAAGCAGAAGAAAATAGTGGTGCTGAGTGTAATTTAAAATTGTAGAATCAAGGATCTGGGGAGATGGATGAATAAAACACTTCTGGGAAAACTGTTAACCCCAAAGATGGGAGGAGAAAGACCACTGACCCAAATCATCATGGCCAAATTAATTACAAACAATTAATCAAAACAAGGTCTTTTATTCATGCTCATGGGCACCTCCCTCTAAGGCAGAGTTTGAGAGGTCAGCATTAGATGTGAAGAAGAGAAGGCTTTTATAGCTCAGGGGTAGAGGAATTTGGTGGGCAATGGGCAGGGTTACAGGAGCAGAGCATAAGCAAAACAAGTTAGTCATAACAACCTCTGGAAACAAAGGCATGATTGCAAGGTGGTCGGAAAAACAGGTAGTCATAGCAAGGTAACCATAGCAACCATTTTGAAATGATGGTAGGGTTGCAGATTGTTTATTAATTTTTTTATTGATTTTTATTGAGCAATACATTTTTCTCTGCTCCTCTCCCTTCCTCTCCCCTTCCCTTCAACTCTCTCCCTTGTTCTCCAAGCTCCCAATTTACTCAGAAGATCTTATCTTTTTCTACTTCCCATGTAGATTAGATCCATGTATGTCTCTCTTAGGGTCCTCATTGTTGTCTAGGTTCTCTGAGATTGTGATTTGTAGGCTGGTTTTCTTTGTTTTATGTTTAAAAATCACTTATGAGTGAATATAATGATAATTGTCTTTCTGGATCTGGGTTACCTCACTCAATACGATGCTTCCTAGTTCCATCTCTTTGCCTGCAAATTTCAAGATGTCATTATTTTGTTCTGCTGTGCAATACTCCATTGTATAAATACACCACATTTTTCATTCTTCGGTTGAGGGAAATTTAGGTTGTTTTCAGGATCTGGCTATGACAAACAATGCTGCTATGAACATTGTTGAGCACATGTCCTTGTGGCACGATTGAGCATCCTTTGGGTATATACCCAAAAATTGTATTGCTGGGTCTTGAGGAAGGCTGTTTCCTAATTTTCTGAGAAATCACCATACTGATATCCAAAGGGACTGTACCAGCTTGAACTCCCACCAGCAATGCAGGAGTGTTCCCTTTACCCCACAACCTCTTCAACATAAGTTGTCATCAGTGTTTTTGATCTTGGCCATTCTTAGGTGTAAGATGGAATCTCAGAGTTGTTTTAATTTCCTTTTCTCTGATGACTAAGGATGTTGAACATTTCCTTAAGTATCTTTCAGCCATTTTAAATTCCTTTGTTGGGAGTTCTCTGTTTAGGTCTGTATTCCACTTTTTTTTTATTGGATTATTTGTTCTTTTGATTACCCATTTCTTGAGTTCTTTGCATATTTTGGAGATCAGAGCTGTGTCTGATGTGGGGGTGGTGAAGATCTTTTCCCATTTTGTAGGCTAATGTTTTGTCTTGTTGACCATGTCCTTTGCTTTACAGAAGCTGTTCAGTTTCAGGAGGTCCCATTTATTAATTGTTTCTCTCAGTGTCTTTGCTACTGGGGTTATATTTAGGAAGTGGTTCCTGTGCCAGTGCATTTAAGTGTACTTCCCACTTTCTCTTCTATGAGGTTTAGTGTGGCTGGCTTTATGTTGATCTTTAATTTATGGTCTTTAATCCATTTGGTCTTGAGTTTTGTGCATGGTGATAGATATGGATCTATTTTTATTTTTCTACATGTTGATATCCAGTTATGCCAAAACCATTTGAAATATGTTTTCTTTTTTTCATTTGATATTTTCTGCTTCTTTGTCAAAAATCAGGTGTTTGTAGGTGTGTGGTTTAATATCCAGGTCTTCTATTCAGTTCCTTTTGTCCTCCTGTCTATTTTTATGCCAATACCAGGCTGTTTTCAGTACTGTAGCTCTGTAGTAGAGTTTGGAGTCAGGGATTGTGATGCCTCCAGAAGTTCTTTTATTGTACAGGATTGTTTTGGCTATTCTTGTTTTTTTGCTTTTCCATATGAAGTTGAGCACCATTCTTTCAAGGTCTGTGAAGATTTTTGCTGGGCATTGCATTGAATCTGTAGATTGCTTTTGGTAAGATTGCCATTTTTACTTTGTTAATTTTACCTACCCAAGAGCATGGGAGATCTTTCCATTTTCTGGTGTCTTCTTTAATTTCTTTCTTTAAATATTTAAACTTCTTTTCATAAAAGTCTTCCATTTGTTTGGAAAGACACAATTGCCATTCCTGAAACACGCAGTACAGAAACATTTGTAGTTAAGGTTACACGTGGGGCATTACCTAATCCTTGAGGAATAGATTTAATCATAATCAGGAATGAACCTATTTTCTCTTTACTGTGAGGTGGCTTTTGAGCCAAACACAGAGGCAGACTGGTACTTCCAAACATGAGCTCAGATCCTCAGAACCCACATGTAGGCTGGATGGACATGGTGGCCATATGCCTGCCATGACAGACAGATATACAGCAATATACAGGCTGCAATATCAGCACTGGGGAGGCTAAGACAGGAGATCATTGAAGGGAGCCTCAAGCTAGATTGCCTACCACTGAAATTCAGCATTCTGAGAGAGACCCCACCTCAAAAATTAATACTGAGAATAACTGAGGAAGACACAGATCTCAACTCTGGGTCTCTACATGTACAACTACACACTTTCACAGACACCTGCACATACATGTGCACATACACCCATGAACATGCATTTGAAAAATTTCACACACTCATTTTGGGAAAATACCCTGACTTGTTTGTTAATTTAAAATATACTTAGCATGTAATTTCATAAAAACAATTCACATAATCTATGCTAAGATTATAACTTAATTTGCAGAAAAGACTATTCCCCCAATATTTTTAAACTTAACTACTTAAAAAATTTAAAAAACCATGTACTGTCTAACATGTGTGAATGTTTGACACTTTCATAAGGGGGAAAATACAATAAATTCATTAAGACATTTTTTAAAACCAGATGTGATGACTTTTTAAAAAAAGATTAATTTATTTATTATATATACAGTATCCTTCCTACATGCCTGAAGAGGGCATCAGATCTCATTATAGATGGTTGTAAGCCATCATGTGATTGCTGGAAATTGAACTCAGGACCTCTAGAAGAGCAGGCAGTGCTCTTAACCTCTGAGCCATCTGAAGAAATAATTTTAGGTTTTAGTATTAGTACTCTCAATTATATGATAATACTTGATCATGTTTTCTCAATATTTTTTATATAAATAAATGTAGCTTTTTGTAGTGTTGAATCTGTTCCCCAAAATTTCTAGAGTGAAATATTTTTCTCCTAATTTCAAAGGTGAAAATTATTACCATGTAAATATTCATGATTGACTAAGCTGTCAGTTTTTGGAACATTCATTGCATTAGGGTCTCTCAGACAATTGTGTTCTGGATGCTGGAAAGGAAATTTTCTACATCTGGAAGGTAAATATTTGGGGATATGTAGATCTCTATCCCTGTTTATTTTTGTGACCCATTAAAATGTGAAAATAAAAAAATTTCTTAACCCTTGTGCCGAACAAAAGTAAGTTACTGACTGGATTCAGCTACAAATTGGTTAACTGCTACCTCTGATGACATATGCAGTGAGCAGGGGCCACGTTTTGTGGAGTATTGTATCATTAGCTCCACAATTGTCAATGCCAGGGCCTTCAATGCTTGTCTTCTCTACTGTGATACTGTATCTGTAAGGAGGAGGGGCAGAAACGGAGGTCAATTTGTCTGTCAGTTACTGCCAAAGAAGGAGGGAAGAAAAAGAAAAAAAAAGGAAAAGCTAAAAAGAAAAAAACCCATCTGAATTCAGCCTCAGCTAGGACGCCCTGTCTCCTCTCCCACTCCTCACCCGTGGGCTCACGGGGCTTGTTTTCTGGGAAGATGGCAAGCCTGTAACATTCAAGCACTTTTAAAGCCTTCAGTCAGGGAGTTGTTGTTTTTAATCCACAGCTGAAACTGTCTTGGAAAGCAGTTGGAGTCCCAAGAATCAGACAAGAATCGAAAAGATGGGAGATAGGATGTTTCCAAAGCAATCCATCTCTCAGCCCATCAGAACTTCTTCAACTCCTCTCCGACATTGCCTTCATTTTCCACAAAAGGGTCTCTCATGTGACATTTTTGTCTGAAAGATGTCTTTCCCCACTGCAGGGCAGGACCAGTCATCATCTCTTGGGAGATTCAGCAGAATTGTCAGCAAGGAAACTCAGATCTATGTCTCCATTAAGTCCACCTTGGAACTTCTGAGTATGGATACAAGCAACCAATATAGCTCAAGTAGTGTCAGTAAGTGCTGTTTCCATAGGGTAGGGGTGCTGCCTACAGTGAGGAAATACAATAAAACTAAAAGCTACTATTTGATTCCATAGACACGATCAGCTAAGTCTAGGAACCAGTGCACACATGGTAACAGTCAATGACATAATCATCCAATGAAGTACAAATTTCTATTTACATTTAAAGAAACCAAAGAATAAGAGACGAAGCAGACTGCATGCCGGGAACCATTTGGAAAGTTACCAGCAGAATCTTAATTAAAACCGGAGTATCTCTTATTTCTAAAAATAGACTTATTCCCAAAGCTCTATTACTTCCTGTCCTTATTGTCAAAATTGTCTCCTCTAATTTTTACCTGCAGCATTTAAAAAAGGAATTATTCTCTTTGACAATCTATTCTCTTGTCCATGTATGTTTAACAATAAAAAGTCATTTGCTTATTTATTTATGCTATGCCCATGGGTCTATGGGTATTAGAGGACAGTGTGAGAGACTGACTTCTTCACTTCTGTTCTGGAAGGTTCGGGGACTGAATTGAAGTCAACCAGCCTTGGTGGCAAGAGCTTTTGTACACTGAGTTTCCTTTCTGGCTCAATGTGTTTCCATTTAGAATGGAGAACAGATCTACCTACCTACCCAGCCCCAGAATCTTGGAATCTACAAACATTTCAGGTTGTTGTGATTGTTTGATTTATTGTGAAGTTTATTCAACAGGATTTACCTGTCGAATGTGCTTCAGCTGGTGGAATGCCTGGGGGTACACTGAAATGGAACCAACAAGATTCCTGAGCCGACCATGCAAGATGTGACCAGCTTCAGGGATGTCGGAGTCACACCACACAAGAATATGTTATTTCAACCTAGGCTCTGAAATGAGCTAAGAAGGACAAATCTCTGGCCCGGAGTCCAACAGCCAGGCTCCGCGTATCCTAGATTGGGAGAAGCACCGTTGACCTAATGACTGCCAATCATCACTTGAAGAAAGTCTCTGAGTTGAAAGCAGTAGGGTAGGCAAACTTACTGTTGAAATAGCTCGTTAAACCTTTCTCTTAGTTTCCAGTTTGAGCTTTTTAGTGGAACTGAAGGCTCGTAGCAGGTGAGATGTGCTTTATATATGGTGTTATCACCATGCTTGTTGACTCGTTGAAAAAAGTTTTCAATTCAAGGAGCCTAACTATGCATAGCATTTATAGTGATGGCTGTAAGTGGCAATTCTTGCATTTCTGTGTAGCTTGCTAACATGCTTTGTTCTGGCATGGTGGTATGCACATTTAGTGCTCCTGGTGTTATTAACGGTCTCATTTAATTTTAACAATGTCTCATCTTATACAGAAAAAAAAAATATCTGAAAAGGTGACAACCATTGGTACAATCAGAATGATTTGAAGGTGTCCTCCGTTAGGAAGAGCCAAAGCTCGATCTTGATTTGTGGGTGGGATTTGAAGGAGGGCTTCAGGAGAGCTTGAGTTCAATGTAGTAGTGCATTAGTAAGAAACCTAACAGTAAAATAATAACCTCCTAATCTTACTGTATTTGTGGTCCCTCTGGCCTAGTGGCTCTAATTTGATTCTTTTTTTTCAAATATGTATTTGGACAAAATTTAATTAGGCTTATACCATAAGTTTGTAGAAATCATTAACAGATACATTTGATTTGTGGTGGGGAGAAATGCCATCAAAGACATTAGAAGGCTAGTAGAAGCTGACACTGTTAGAAGAGGCAGGGTGAGTTTGGGCACTATTTTGCTGCAATCTTGGTTTATGGGGATCTGTGTGGTGTCGATAGCATGTTATAAGCTGCTGTGTGTGTACCCTTTCCTCAGTATTGTGCTCTATTGTCATATTCTCCCAAGGACAGGGACAGCCATTGCCATGCGTAAGAAATTGAACACCCACTGCTCACCGGAGGCAGAGAGATAGTTTACAGCACACATTACAGTGTAGCAAGGACCACAATAAAAGTAAAAAAGCTAGGAGATTATAGTTGAGAGGATGAGTGATCACCAGGAAGAGAATTGAGGTAGTTTGTCGGAGAGGTTACAAACGGACCTCTAGTGAATTTTTCCCAGTAGGCACAGAAACAAGGTTGAATCAAAAGAGGAGTTGAAACTTTGAGTTCAAAAGACTAAACAAAAACAAATTAACAAAAAGTAACCGGTGTTGGTATGGACAGACTATAAACCTGGAAAACTGGAAAACCATTAAGCAATAGTTTCCATCAATTTGATAATTAATGAGTTTTGATAAGTAAATGGCATTTTTTTTCTGGTTTGGTTGTAAGTGTTTTCTATGCAATGACCTTGAAACACCATGCCATATTTGTGTTTAGCAATTCCCCTTGTTGAACTCAAGATAATTAACTCAAATAGCTTGGTATTAAAAAAAAATGAGACAACCAATTTCTGTTTGGTTCCTCTTGAACACAAAGTCTATCTTCTGCGAAGTGTGAAGAAGATACCATATTCCCTGTAATCTGTACTAATCTCACTTTTTCAAAAATTGTAGAGGCAGCCAACAGGTTAAAATCCTCAGGCTCCGACTCTGGGAGCTTCACATTCCAGACATAGTTACACCATGGCCACGTGAGAAGAGACATCCTGGGCCACTCTAGAGTAGTGAGCCAGGCAGCCAATAACAGCTTTATTCTAAGGAAAGGGAAGGCTCAGCAAACCCCTGCAGCCATGGAAAATGTGCACAAAGACTTGCCAGTGATACTCCAACCAGAACACATTTATTTTTGAGGTTAAAGTTGCTAGTTTAACTAAGTCAGCTAAGATAGAAAGATTTGGGAAGCTGCTATTTTACTGTTAGGCACTTCATCAGACCTATGCCTCCGGGAAAGGTCATAGTGACCTAGTGTTTCTAATACCCTATTTCAGCAAACTGGAGAAAGTTCTGTGGTGTCTTAGCGCCTCAGCTTCCACATCTGCTCTGTCCCTCTCCTTTCATTTTCTTTCTAAAATTATATCTTTAAATAAATTTCTTTTAGTGTTTGAGGTAATATATAATTAAATATATATGTATTTTATTTATATGATATGTATACATCATGTAGACATAATAAAATTACATCATTTGCCCTTCCCTTTCACAGTCTTTACCCTACTTGTTCCATACAGAAACTTTTACAAAGGATTTCCTTCTCTTGGTCTCCATTGGCTTTATGTACACTTTACCCAAAATATAGTCCTGACAAATCTCTCTAATTCTATGATCATCTATCTTAAAATTGGGGGGGCGATGAATCTTAGGTTGCAACATGATTCTGCTTTCCTTGCTCCCCTGTAGGTGGCTCCAGAGGCTGTGCCCCCACTAGCCTTTCACTGGAGGCTGAGCTCCTGTTCCTGAATCATCTAGTCACCACCATAGCCTTTTCCAAATGTAGCCAGAACCCTCTGTCTCTCTGTGAGGGCAAATTCCTGTCCCTCTGCTGTGGTTTGAATGCAAATGCCTCCAAAGGAAGTGGTGCTGTTGGAGACATGGTCCTTGTTAGAGTAGGCACGGCCTTGTTAGAGGAAGTGTGCCATGGTGTAGAGGGGTTTTGAGGTCTCATATAGACTCAAGCCACACCTAGTGTCTCAGTTCTTGTCCTGTTGTCTTTGGAACAAGGTGTAAGAACTCTTAGTTCAGCACCATGTCTGCCTGAATGCTGCCTTGCTTTCTGTCATGATGACAACAGACCAAAGCTCTACCTGTAACCCTACTTAAATGTTTTCCTTTATGAGTTGCTGGGATCATGGGTGTCTCTTCACAGCACTAGAAACCCTGACGCCCTCCTTCTATCTCTATTTTCTCTCCTCTGTCGCAGCTTTCAGAAATGTCCATTCTCCCCTTCTTTTCCTTCACCATGTGTATGATTTCCCTCTATTATACCTGCAAGTTACTCTGAACCTGTTTGCATGTCTAATTCAGTCTGGGGCCTAGCACTTTCTACACACTGGTTAGTTAATAAGTATGTGATAGTCATGTGTTGATTTAGCTTCTGTGTTCTCATGCTAACCAAGCCACCGGAAGGAGGCCAGAGGACAGCTTGGCGGTCCTTTTCTGCTGGGTGTGAACTGCGGATCAGACTCAGACTCTCAGGCCTGTCAGCAAGCACCTTTACCTGCTGAGCCATCTCTTTAGCTCTTATATTTTACACAATTTATTTTCACAGGGTCTTTCTACATAGTCCAAACTGGCCTGGAACTTACTATGTCACCTGGCCTAGTCTCCAGATTGCCATCCTTCTGCCTCAGCCTTCAAAGTGCTGAGATTATAGGTTTACACCGATGAGCCTGACTTCAACTTCATGTAGCTGCATCAGAAAGTCACCCAAGATGAAAGGACTAGGAGAACAAATGTTCAGTCTTTCTTAATGTAAAGAATTGGTTATGAGACGTGAAAAAGTACAGTTTGTGATCATGATGGTGGGGAGACTTGTCAGGGATCTCTGGGGAGCATGCCCATTACTGGTTTCTGGGAGGCTTTAGGGTCAACTTCCCCAGAAGACAGATGTGGTTTTAACCCATTTGTGGCTCAACTTCAACTCTGGCTTCTGAAGGGCTTGAAACTGTGGCGACATATTTACTATAAATTTGATTACAACTTCCCTTTGAGCGAGCTTGACCACTTTGGCTTACAAAAGCACTGTAAATTCCAAGATCTAATTGGCCCAGTGTTGCTTTTCCAAGGGGAAAGCCAGATTCAGAGAAATTCCCTTGGCTAGACCTTGCTTTGTATGAGCTCTGTTACTCTACCTGTCTTTGACTCCTTCTCAGTCCCCCACCTTGTTCCTTCCTTCTCTCTCCTTCTCCTGAATGACATTTCTTTAAACAGTATCAGGAAACTGAAAAGAAAACACAATTGAGGTTGTATTTGAGGAAATACATAAAAACTGTTAGATTTTCATCTTTGTGGTTTAGCTTTTTGTCCATCTATCTAGGGAAGTTTTACAAGGATTATTGTAATAGACAGATAGATGCTTGTCCCTTATTTGAAACACACTGATGTATGAATACCTCAATCCCCAAACTTTAAACTTATATCATTATCAGATCCATCCTTTAAAAATAATATTTTCTAAATAGTTTCAATTTATTAGCAATAAAATAAAAGGTTAAAATTGGACATTGGAGCTGGAAATCAGGGACTTATGACAGACTTAGGGAGTGGTGCTGCAGCCTGGACCTCTACAAGCATCTCACAGGGCTTTTCAGCTTACTGAGAAATTACCATTAGTGACTTGCCAGTGGGTGATTTTAATAAAGTGGTACAAAATGAAGCCATTAAATAGTAGATTAAATATGTAATGGTTGGAAAGAAAATTAAACCCACCACAGGAAAAATTTAATTTCATAAACTTGAAAGAAAAAAGACAAGATGCTAATCGTAGCTAGACAGCAGTGCCGGAGGGTTGGGGTGGTCGCACAATCACAGCTGAATAAAAGTATTTTTTTTATCATGATTATTCGTTAGGAAGCAGTGGAAAACAACCAAAAGCAAATGTAATCTAACTAGAATTTCATTCCTGGGGCAGAGGTGTGGCCCATGTTCATCCATGGTTCACAGTTATTCTGTCACGTGACACATGCAGAATTCTTGCAGAAAGTCTCACAGGAAGAGCTGTTAGTTCACAGCATGGAAGAGGCGTTAGACTTTCGGGGCAGCCGACAACTGAGAGGAGAGGTCCAGACAAGAAGGGTGAGTCCCAATGTGAAGACCACACATGGTCCTGCACATTGCCCAGACATGCATAGAGATGCCATTGAGTTTAGCGGAAAGCAACAACTGGACCACTGTGTGCATTAAACAGACATTTCAGCTGCTACGGAATTAAACCAGCTAAAACTAATAAAATAATTGACTGTGCAAGTATTTGGAGGGATTACATCTTTAATATCCTTCTGGCCAAAAAAATATAAAATGGCAAGCTGCTTTGGAAAAGCAAGACAGCTTCAGTGTTAAACATCCATCAGTTATGTGAGTCAGACTTTTCACTCTGAGGAATCTGCCAGAGCATGGGAAGG